TCTGTGTTATGACAAGTCCTCAAAAGAAGGGGAGTCTCCAAATAAACGACTCAGGTTTTGTTACTGCTTACTCAAAGACATGCAAAACATAAGCAAGAAAAAAAAATCAACTTTCCTAAAATCCTTAATATGTTGAGCTGATGGAGTAATTTTTGACAAACTGCAATAGATTGAAAATTAATTCAAAGATGATAAGTTATGCTTCTCTAAAATTAACCGAGATTCTTCTTATCCTGGTATCTGAACGTTTGACAAATCAGCAAGCACAACACTCATCACTTATCCATTCTGACCACATGCCTAAGTCATATAGCATGGAAAGTTCAACTGCCAAACGTAATGTGCTAATGTATCAATCATGATACTCAAATAATTTATGCTAAATCCAGTCCCCCATTTCGAGTAAAGCAACTTTCTATCAGACTTTTCGTGGAAGAAATACAATGCCTTGGGCCAACTTCTAAATTGTATTGTGAAGGAAAGGAAAAACAAAAAAAGAACAATGCTACGTTTTTGAATTAAAACCAAAAAACTGCATGCTGAGGATTTTCCCTGCTATAACAAATCACTAACTAGTATCAGTTAAAATTGAAAAGTGCCAATCCCCAATCAATCAAAGATTAAATATCAGGTAAAAATCAAAGTTTGAGTTTGAATATGCATCACTTCTTTGAGCTTTTACTATTGGAAAAGGACCCTTTTTTGTCCCATGGAAATTGCAGGACCAATTTCTGATGTTCTTAGTAAAGCCACCCAAACTGACCAAGTCAGCAGGATCATGGAAGTCCCCATCAATTAATATTTTAACATCTAAAGGCGATTCCCAAAATCAAAACGGGTTTTAAAATATTACTCCGCACATCGGAGGCAATGATTAAAACCGCACTCTCGATTCATTAAACTTAAAAAAAGCATAATGATAACTACTGAATCTTAAAGTAATGCGAAATTCCTGACTAAAGACTCCTCTGTTTAGTTACCGAGAAAACAAAATGAAAACAGAAGCTGAAAATTCGAAATCGCTTCGTATCGAAATCAAACAAAACAAGATTCTGGATTACTTCTCCATTTCCTCATTGAACATCAGCAACCAAACAGAGCAACAAGCAAAAAAAAAAAAAAAAAAATCCGCTACCAGGCGAAAGAATTGGAATCCCTTTCCGTTTGCCGGAAACGAAGTTAGATAAGCATCAACGAACAGCACTGCCCTGAAACGATGAAGAAAACGGAGAATTACAGGCGACCAGATTTGGAGATGGAGAAAATGATTTGAATGTTTTTAAGGTGGAAAAGAGAAGATGAAACGAGAATCCACGGAATATATATACCTCGTATGGATCGGAGACGAAGGTGACGGGATGTGGATAGGATGGGATGGATAGTTCGGGGATTCTCTTTTTGGGTGCTGTTATTGCTAATCACCGAGAAAGCGGATCCTTTTCTTTTAGGGGGAATGCAAAAACCAAAGGGACTTTTATTTTATAGGCTTATTGGTATGATTTTGAGGGGGCCTGATATCTACTTAGAAGGAGGAGAAGTGGGAATGACTATTCCAATTTATGTATAGAGATTTTGTCTGGCTGGTGTTTTACTGCACTGAATAATTGTGGTGGGGAAAAATGCCCCACCAAGAAACTCTGGCTTGTTTGTGGTTATTAAAATTGTTTGCCACGTCATAAATGAGCAAAACATGCAGAGTAACCCCTCAACTCGTCATGCAGTGGCAAATCAAACCCTCAAGTCAATTCACATGCAAAAGAACCCCTCAACTCTCCTTCAGTAGCAAATCAGTCCTTCTGTGTAGCTTAACGTCATCAATCCATTAAAACTTAAAGTTTCGCTCATCATCCCTTGCTTTGCATCTAACCTGGATTTTTTTTGTTGAGATGGATGTTTTGTTGGACGCTTTGTGAGTAATGTTGTAATTTACTTTTATGCCTTTTTTGTTTGGTCAAATATAATTGGAGATCTAAAGTTTTGTTTCAATTGCAACCTTTTATTCTCTTCTTCTTCTTGTCAAAAATGTGAAGTTTTGATCAGCAAGAACTCTTATTCATCAACCATGGCTTCTTTATCAAGCTCTCAATCATCAGTCACATTGCCATATTTGAGGATAGAGGGAATATTGAGTGGGATTATGAAGGACTTACATGGACCTGCAAGTGTTGGCATTTTGCTACACGATGGACTTGCTAGAAGGAAGCTAATGCCAGAAAAAGATTTTTTTGGTTGCCTACAATATAAGAAGAAGGTAATGTTAACTTTGATTTTGATTTGATTTAGGTTGTGGGTTGTGTTTACTATTAAGTGTTTGAATTAATTTTGTAGAAGAATTGTGGTTTCTTTCTTTGGTATGATCTTGTGTTTAATAAAAGGAAAACTAAAGTTATACAACAATTAACCTCAGAAAAGTACACTCTAATGCATGAGATGGATCATTTACAAACTTTCTCTTCCATTTCATGTTTTGATTTTGATTTTTCGTTCTATTTCTGCTAATCTATGAGTTGTTTATCTCATGAATTTTTAAAATTTTATACTTAAACTCTTGAATTCCTTAAGCTGGTACTATGATTTTTTTTTTTTGGTTTTATTTTATTTTATTTGTAATTTGGGTGGGGTTGGTTTGCTTAAGCATAATTGATCTGTTGGAGCTTAGATCTATATGGTGGTTTTTGAATTTCTTTGCATATTATGCAATCATGTTGTCGTTAAGAAGAGAACTTGTGTTCCTCATACTTCAATCCCTTGATGAAGAGAAATTCAAAGAGATAGTTCTCAAGTATTTTTTATTTCCCTTGTTTTTTTCCCTCTCTCCAGACATTACAATTTGGTTATGTGTAATTAACATACAAATTTATAGAAGGGGTATTTTTATGAGTTTCTATAGTTTTTTATTGTAAAATGAATTTGTAATTTTTTTATTAACCCCAAAAGAATCTCCAATTTTTCACACCTTAGGGATTTGGAAGCCATATGCCATTTTATCTTGTCAAAAATTTGCTTTGATGAGTCGATGACAACAAAGTCCAGCAAAGCATCCAACAAACCATCCATCTTAGCAAAAAAAAAATCCAAGTCAAATGTAGAGTAGGGCATGATAAGCGGAACATTAAGTTTTAATTAGATTGATGATGTCAAGCTACACAGAGGGGTTGATTTGCAATCGAAGACAAGTTGAGGTGTTCTTTTGCACGTGAACTGACTTGTGGGACTGATTTGCCACTACCTGACAAGTTGAGGGGCTAGTCTACATGTTTCGCCTTATAAATGAAAGGTAATGATATGTGAAATATTTATTTTTTATAATTTTTAATATATTTTTACATATTATAAATAAATGAATAAATTTAATATTAGGGTCTTTATAGAATGAAAGTAATTAGTTACTTAAATAATATGTAAAGTTGTGTGAAAAAGTAAAAAAGAAAAAGAAAGGAGAGATGATGAATGATTTAAGGAGGGCTCCCTCTATGAGAAGCTCTTCTCCCCCCTCCAATTATAAAAATTGTATAATTTAATATAATTTAGGCTGCATAATGCTCTTTTTATTTTTACTTGAAAACTAATAGTTGAAAATAAAAGTAAATAATTAATTTTTTGGTAACAATATAATTATAATGTTATGTATAGTTATAAATTTATCATCATAACATATTATTAAATAAATAAATACATACAATATTAATAGTAAACTTTTATATAAAAAAACGATACCTCATAATTATAATATGACAATATTATATAATATTGTAATTATATGATCTTTATTCTTTGTGAACAAGCCTTTATCATCTTGATAGGTGGCAAAAACAAATTTTTTTCTTTATCCACCGCAATTAGAGGAAAAGTCAAAATCTTGGAAGAAAAAAATTTTTTTTTTGGTCAACCAAAAAACAAAGAATTTTATTAAAGCAGGAAGATTATCTATTTAAGATTTTAAATGCCTCATCTTAACCCATAGAAGTAATACATAACATATATGCTACTAAATAGTATATAGATTCAAATTCTTTATTATCGTTTGAATGTAAACAATTTTAACATATCATATTCTCCACCTTTGAGGGCATAATTTTATACTCTATACATGTAAACAAAGCAATTTTTAGCTTCTTAAATAAGATTAGTTAAGTCAAACATTTGAATATTCATATTGCTAATAAAAAAAATTATTGGTAAGTGTTTTATGATGAGCTTCTTTCTTTTTTTTCTTTTCTTTTTTTTTCTTTTTTAAATACTAAATGGTAGAGTGTTTAATGAAATACAGTCTTATCGGAACCTCACTAAAATCACATCTTCAATGAAATGAAATAAAGCCACCAATCACCATTACACACAAAATTGTCCATTTACATTACTCATGATGTTTACATGTAATGGTGCCATCCAAAGACATGTACACTGTTTTCTTTATGTTTTTTGAACAGCGTACACCTTTTTCTTTGTAGTTATAGTCCACAGACACTCACCGACGTGGAATGTGATCTAAATTTTACAACAAGATATCAAATCAAATACAGCTAGAAGGAACTTTCAAAATTGATTGAGATTTCAACATAAGCAGGCAAATTTGCCCCCCCAACCCATAAAAATTCTAAACACAAAATACGATATTGGTTATTTATTTGTAGATTCAAATCCAATATATTTATATTTGAAAAGATTGTCCCTTAGCAAGTAACCTAAAGTGCATACTAAGAAATGTATCTTAGCAAGTGACTTAAAATCCAATATATTAATAAGAGAGGCCCTTGAATTACTAAAAT